GCAGGTCCAGCAGCTCCTGGAGGGTTTCTGTGGGCAGCTGCACCTTCTGGCTGATCTGCTGGTCATAGTGGGCAATGGCATTTTTCACTGCAGCTGAGTTCTCCATCTTGGCCAAGGCCAGAACAGCATTCTCCATGCAGGGCAGAGCCCCACTGGTGATAGCACTGAGGTAGGTCAGTACTAGTTTCTCTAATCCTACATAGAACAGATGATGATATCTGTTTTAGAGAGAGTGAAGTAGGCTCATCAATAGCATTAACACTCCCCAAAAGCCTAATAGCAAAAATAAACTTTCAATCACTTTACCTGGTTTAGTCAAGATCAGGATTATACAGCAGAATTTTAGGTTGAATAACATGTTTTGTATCTGTGATTCCAATTATAAATAGGCCTTATATAGTTATTGAGCTCTCAAAACAGAGGCCCATATACTGCATTTGTAATTGTTTAATCAACTTACATTTGAACTAAATAGATACACATGTGTCTTAGAATAAGCAGTCCAGGTTAGTAGAGAAAGTACATGGATAGTCTCGTCTTTGATTTACATAAACTTTTCAAAGCCAGTGATTTTTTCTTACAAAGAAAAGATTAAGGACCATTTGAGACTGTATAAAATCTGGAAAAGCTGTCAAAACTGAAATTGAGTGGATATCACATCACTCTCCAAAGAATAAAAGGATGAGAGGGGACTCACGAGGTCCATTGACCTTGATGCCTCCTGGAAGAGCTTTAGCCTTGGCATAGGTGAAGATGTGGGAACAGAAACCTTCTACCTGCTGCACAAAGTCAGAATCCAGCTCATTATCATGCAGGGTCTCAAGCTCAGAAAGCTTCTTCCACTCGGTGGGTGGATAGAAAATAAAACATTTCTTCTTTGGAAAAAACTTTCGAATACAGAGTCGGGGCAGGTTGTATTTTTTATCTTGTTCACTGGTACCTGGAAAAAGTGAAACAAAAAGCAAGAGAAATAGCTAAGCAGCTATCAGAGTGTTCATATGTCACTTAAAATTTTCTTCT